TGTCACCTACGTGAGACAGCTATGGATTTGTCCAAGGAGTCGATGACATCTCGAGAGAAGTAATTCATTGCCGTTGTAGTCAAATGGAAGAGCAATTCCAAATTCGTAATATGACAATAAACGACCTGGTATTCTGTTCGACTACGGGCGTTGGAATGCAAAAGAACTCAGATAATCAGAATCCGTGAATTTGTGATATGGGGTTTGACTGGGTCGATTCCATCTCTTCTGTGTGTTTGTCATGTGCGTAACGGAAAGATGGTTCTTGGGATCTCCTTTGCCATATGATGATAAGTGGGTGGACAGCTGTGATCGAGTGAAATTTTGTGAAGTGTAAAAGTTAAAAATTTGAAGGGTCGGTGCACGTTTCGTCTTCTTGATGTTGCAGTGGGAAGTCGTCCCTGTTTCGGGTTCTTGCAGAGCTGTGGCCACTTCAGAGTGGAGTGATTACGAGGCCGCCTCGTGGAGAGATTTTTTACCTCTCACAGGTATTCCCCTTCATTCTCATTCCTTTGTTACTTCCTATCTTCTTTTCTCTCTGTGGCTTCCTATCTTTTGTCTTTCTTCTTTATTTTTGTTTTAAATAAGGGGCCCACTGGGCCAGTGCCGAAGGCGTTGATTAGCAATGATGCCAGACAATAAAAATACCGCGGATGCTCTCGTCCGGGACATCCGTTAAAATTGGAATGATCCAGAAAATATTAGCATGGCAAATTGGAACGATACAGAGAAGTTTAGCATAGCCCCTGAACAAGGATAAAAAAACAAGAAAAAAAACAAGAAAATAGTATAGGGAAGGGTGTGTTTTATAGCGAGTTACGGTGAAAGTTCCCTAAGGAGTCGTAGGGAAGGGTGGTATGGTAGGGACTTGCGATGAGTTGTCACCCCCAGGTCGGCTGTGCCATAGAAAGCCAGATCCTGGCACCCGCAACCCCATTGAAAAGAAAAAAAACGAAAAAAAAAGGGGTCATTACCCAGCTTCGACTCCAGGATTCGTAATCTACTCCATTAAAAATAGTAGATTTGATGATCTAAGACTGCAAAGCTGCAAACCCAAATGCCAATAAATGATCATCTATAGGCCTATAGATGATCATCTATAGGCCTATAGATGATCATCGGTAGGCATTCGGGTCTTGTGAGACATTATTGTACCGTTGTAAACTCGGATGAGTCGGAATTTAGTCGAGGAAAACAAGACCCAAATGCCTATAGATGATCAAAAGAAATACCCTAATTGGCACACAGGGGAAAACAACAAATGAATAAAAATTAAAAAATCAGGAAGGTCATAAAGACTCGTAACCCAAGATAAATCTCAGGGTCATAAGACACTAGTGCAAGGAACCATCGTAACCATAGATGATATCACAAAATTTCCAGCATATATGAGCAAAGGCAAAAGTACAATGAAAAAGCCAAGATCACACCAAATGAGCACACACTGACACTGAAGTCTCTTGATAAAGAGAACCTGGTCTCTCTCTCTCTCTCTCTCTCTCTCTCTCTCTCTCTCTCTCTTCTTTCTTTGACGGAAGATGGCTGCAATCTATTGGTGGGGAGCTGCAGCTCTTGGAGACCGGATCCAGCGTCCCATTTTACAAAGCAGGAGCCAAAAACAGGAGCCAAAATTGAGGACGGCATTCAGTGCCCTTGTGTGAGGGGATTGACTGTCCATGCGCACCATCCAATCAGTACCCCTAGCCACGTGGCAGGAGCTCCACAGTCGTATATGGGAAGGACAGTGCGCTACCAAAAGCGGCCCGTCTTCTCAAAATCAAACGACGGCCAAGCCAAGCAAATCAGTCTTCTTTGTGGAGGCTGTGGCTGCCTGGCTGGTACTGGGCTCACCCCAGTCTGGGAACCTTCTGAGGACCTTCCAGACCAGCTAACTGGAAAGCTGGGCGCACTGGTCAATTGGAAGGGCCGGGTCCTGCCTTCCTCCCAACAGCTTCATGCCAGCCTCCCCAGATGCCTGGCGGAATTTTTCAGGACTGCCCTTCACTTCAGACCGGGTTACCTTTTTTTTTTTTTAAACTAATTTATATTCATCACTCATATACCTCACTCCACCTACCTACCTACATACCTACGGTTTACCGGGCAGTTCTATTTGACGATATATGTCCAGTTTTTTTCCAGAGGATGCTCAAGGTTATGGGTCGAGTTTCCAGCATTCCCAGCCTATTCTGCTCTATGCGGGGAGCAGTACCCCGGCTCCTAACACCTGCCATGAGCTGGAAAGCCTAACCAACTTCCACAACCAGCCAGGAGGCCCAAGTCAAATAACTCCGCTGGTGAACCTGAAGCGCATCACAGGGGGCCGTGGGGAATCGAATGGACGACGTGGGGGATCGAAGCCACAACCTGCTGAATACCACTTACGTGTTCAACCAACTGAGCCAGCCCGCACTGGGTTACCTTTGTTTTTTTCCCGGGCGGTCCGCGCTCTTAAAAATATGATGCTCTCAAGTATCCAACCGAGCCAGGTTTCTGAAACATGAAGGACAATGACTTTTGCTGGGCCTGGAATTTAGTATGAAAATCTGAAATTCTAATATGAATTATATGATTAAAAAAGAAAAAGAGGACAGAGTAGAAAATCAGTGAATTCGAAATTGATTTTTTGAATTTTATTCCTGGGTTAGGCCGGCGTCCGGTCCAGACGGACCGAGCCTGACGGACCGGGGGGGGTCCGTCCGGCAAAACCAGACGAGCCAAAAAACGTCCCATTTATTATTTTTTATTTTTTTTGAAGATGGGGTTGGACTGCGCTCGCTGAGAGGAGCCC